TGGTTAAACTGTAGCAGCGTCTAAAGTTTGAATCTTGTAGTTTACATATTGAAGCATGCTTCACCGTATTTTCCTAAGTAAGTTACTCATCCATTGTTTGTAGAGAGAAAGAGAGAGAAGGATTTGGAGCTTTTAGAGAGAGAAAACACAATTTTCTCAAATGGGTTTGTGAGAACTCATAGCAAGAACAAGAGCCTTCTATATATTTCTTTGCTTCCAGAGATCGGCTTGATCAGAAACAATTATACGGTATCTAATTCCTTCTCTCTCTCTCTTTTTTTTTTCTTTCTTTTTCCTTAAAAGGAGAAAAAAGGTTTGGATCTTGTTAGGTTCCAATCGAATATGCAGAAGAAAGTAACAGTTTTTGTACCCTCGTTGAACTTTTGTAGGATCTATATAGTATCACTTGAGCTCATGTTTATAACAAGAGACAAGATCGTAATAAGCATCTTTTATTTATTTTTTGAAACTTTCATAATAAGCATCTTATATACTTTTGTTTCTATTTTCACTTGTATATAAGTTAATCTCAAACAAGATCTATCTTTGATCTTTGAGATTCTTAAAGATTTCATCAAGTGTCACGTTCATTAATTAAGTAGTACATCTCTAATTTCACTTCGAAAAATAAAATTACGGATCTTTTTGATGATATCAAAAAAGTTCTTTGAAGATATAGCAAATCAAATCTATACTTTCAAGAAAACATAATCTTTTAATTTGGATTTGTGTGAAAACAATTTGTTTTTCTTTTGTAATAAAGGGACTATATATAGAGAGATCGAAAGAGGAGCATCAAAGATGGGAGGAGGGAGCAATAATAGTCACAATATTGACAACGGGAAGTACGTAAGGTACACTCCTGAACAAGTTGAAGCTTTGGAGAGACTCTACAATGACTGTCCTAAACCAAGCTCTATGCGTCGCCAACAACTAATCCGCGAATGTCCCATTCTCTCCAACATCGAGCCTAAACAGATCAAAGTCTGGTTCCAGAATCGCAGGTCATTCTTCTTACTTCTTGTACTTTCTTGAGTCGCAAGAAACTCTCTTTATTTTTGTGAGATTTGCTCACTCTTGGTATTGTGAGTTTATACAGGTGTAGAGAGAAACAGCGGAAAGAGGCTTCGAGGCTTCAAGCTGTGAATCGGAAGCTAACCGCGATGAACAAGCTTCTGATGGAAGAGAATGACCGGTTACAAAAGCAAGTGTCTCACTTGGTTTACGAAAACAGCTATTTTCGCCAACACCCTCAAAACGTATACTTATTAATTCAATCTTTTGATTCTTTCATCTCAAACTTGACACAGAAGTTATGTAATTTATCGTCTCTCTCGGTACATAGCAGGGGAACTTGGCGACCACGGATACGAGCTGCGAGTCAGTGGTGACGAGTGGTCAGCACCACTTGACCCCTCAACACCAGCCTCGTGATGCTAGTCCTGCTGGGTAAGTTATAAACCAGAACCAACAATCTTTTGGTTTTGAATGGTAGCATCGAGCGAAATGGACTAATCCGCTGCAATCTAGACCGCAACTGGATTAGTCAATTTGTATTCGCTGTCACCTATCTTTCTTAATTTTTCGGGTTTTAAAATGAGTGATATATATATAAATCAATGAATCTCTTGTGTCTTTCTTCAGATTATTGTCCATTGCGGATGAAACTTTAACAGAGTTCATTTCTAAGGCTACTGGAACTGCCGTTGAGTGGGTCCAAATGCCTGGGATGAAGGTAATTCGGATACTTCTCTAGCTCGTCTATGATTCAATCATCTTAATTCACTTCCTTACTGACTATGGAATTTGCAGCCTGGTCCGGATTCCATCGGAATCGTTGCTATTTCTCACGGATGCACGGGAATCGCAGCTCGTGCTTGCGGCCTTGTGGGACTTGATCCAACAAGGGTAAGTAGTCTCACTTATTTTTAACGGTTACTTCTTCATCAATCAACCAAGTTCATACATGTATATAGGAACATAAATCACAATTCTGTTTTTTTTTTCTTTGCAGGTCGCGGAGATCCTAAAGGATCGGCCTTGTTGGTTGCGTGATTGCAGATCTCTAGATATCGTTAACGTCCTCTCCACGGCAAACGGTGGAACCCTCGAACTAATCTACATGCAGGTATTTATGAATGATGATCAAGAACCCTAAAAAAAACAATCTACAACACAAACCGACTAATCGAATCTGACCAAAGCTAATATGTACTCTTTTTATCTTCTTTCTATGAAAGCTTTATGCGCCGACAACATTGGCACCAGCTCGTGACTTCTGGATGCTACGTTACACATCTGTAATGGAAGACGGAAGCCTTGTGGTATGCAAATGAAATCATCCTCATTCTCTTATAACATCGATATATTTTGTTTTTTCTCTTTCGATCAATCGATGATACTAAATCAAGATTTTTGATCTTGATGTGTATGGTAATGCAGATATGCGAACGGTCGTTGAACAATACACAAAATGGGCCAAGTATGCCACCATCTCCTCATTTCGTTAGAGCAGAGATTTTACCAAGTGGATACCTCATTAGACCATGTGAAGGAGGTGGATCCATTCTCCACATTGTCGATCATTTCGATCTTGAGGTAAAAATCCTTCACTAGGTTTATCATTTCGTCACTTGAATCAAATTTGTTTCTTCTTACACAAGAAAGTGGAGTGTTTCCTCTGTTTCTACACTTCATTTTCCCCCCCACATTTCTCCATTTCTTGTTATAGTAAACGTCTTGGTTTCCAGTAATATTCAATAAGCTTGGTTGAAATCTTTTGTAGCCATGGAGTGTACCAGAAGTTCTTCGTTCTCTCTATGAGTCCTCGACGTTACTCGCCCAAAGAACCACCATGGCAGTAAGATTCCTAAACACTTAAGTGTTTGAAATTATCGTAACCTTATTCTTGAATAAATCAAGATGTAAGAACTTATGGTGTATTTATGCTGGTTACAGGCTCTACGCTATTTGAGGCAAATATCTCAAGAGATCTCACAACCTAACGTAAGTGGTTGGGGAAGAAGACCAGCGGCTCTAAGAGCACTTAGCCAAAGACTCAGCAAGTAATTAGAAGCCTCCCACATTTAAAAAACACTCAAAAACAGGTCTTCAATTCTTAAACTTAAATTGCTTCTTTCTTGTAAATTCAGAGGATTCAATGAAGCAGTCAATGGATTTAGCGATGAAGGCTGGTCGATGCTAGAGAGTGATGGTATCGATGATGTTACTCTTCTTGTGAACTCTTCTCCTACAAAGATGATGATGACTTCAAGTCTCCCATTCTCCAATGGCTTCACTTCAATGCCTAGCGCGGTTCTATGTGCCAAAGCTTCCATGTTATTACAAGTAACTAAGCTCATCAAAATCTCAAAGTTGAAATTCTCAATTTCCTCCTTTTCGATCAATCATTAAGGATATTTTTGTTTGTGAAGAATGTTCCTCCCTCGATTCTTCTGCGGTTCTTGAGGGAACATAGACAAGAATGGGCAGACAATAGCATCGATGCGTATTCAGCTGCAGCCATCAAGGCTGGGCCTTGTAGCTTACCAATTCCTCGACCAGGGAGCTTTGGTGGTCAAGTCATTCTTCCTCTAGCTCACACAATAGAAAATGAAGAGGTGAGTGTACTACAAGATCCTAAAAATAAATCAATTGGACAATGTTTTACTTGTGGAAAAAGAACTTAAACTTGTGCTTCTCTGTTCCTTTTGCAGTTCATGGAAGTGATTAAGCTTGAGAGTTTGGGGCATTACCAAGAAGACATGATGATGCCTGCCGATATCTTCCTTCTGCAAGTAAGGCCTTATTATTCCAAACATCAAATTTTGTGGTTTCCTTTGTCTTTACATGTAATCTAAAAAAACAAGCCACATCTTTAAAAAGAATTTTTTTTTCTGATATAAATAATTTTGCAAAGTATAAAATGTTTACAACTTTAGTTTTTGGTCATAAAATGTCATTTGAAAAAATACATTATTGTAACATGAAAACGCAAACACTAAACAAGCAAGTATGACCGACGTCTCTGCGTCTAACAGTGATTAATCTTGTTGCAACTAATGATTCTTATGATTTGATGATTTAGATGTGCAGCGGAGTGGATGAGAACGCCGTTGAATCATGCGCAGAGCTTATCTTTGCACCAATCGACGCATCTTTCTCTGATGATGCACCGATCATTCCTTCCGGTTTCCGCATCATTCCTCTAGATTCCAAATCAGTACG